AACTAGAAAAAAATACATTAAGGTCACTGTTGATTTAATTGCATTTATAAAAACTCTGAGAATTCAGCAGTTATATGTATACTGATCTTGCTTAATTATTATCCATTCGATGGCATTTTGTATTATGATAGCTTGTTTTCCCGATATGTATATTGAAAATTTTACAAAGAAACTTCAAAAAGACTTTTTACCATAAGTATGCTTGTACTCTTGTCACTGTTAATCAATCGATGCTTATTTCAAAATAAAATAAGTGATTTTTATCCTGCTGAGGAGTATATATCTGAATTCACATTTCCGAAGGATAGAAAAGTTATGAAAAGTATCAAAAATGAAGAGATTCTAAGTCTTTTAAACAATATCACTGAATTTGGGGAGAGTATGTGTCAAGGAGAATTTGCTATGACTACTACACTGTTTTTCTTAAGGTTATGAATTATTACTCTTTGTTGTGAAGTAACATTTGAACTGAAGATTACACTTTGTATCTGCATATACTATCTTAGAATGAAGACATTTTCTTCTCATTTACTTATTTATTTACGCGCGATGGTTAGCTGCCTACCTCAATACATATCTAAATGTTAATAAAAGTAATTCCACTTTATGGGACACACATTTTGTAAGAGAATCGTTTAGTGTAAGGCACACAAAAATTTTCGGGACAACCAACAGATTTTATGACAGCATAAAAACAAAATTCTGACCTGGTGAGTACTGCAGGTATTCCCAACGGTACCGATTCTGCTGGTGGACGTTGATAATAGTATAATAACCATAATTTGGGAACAGCTAATGACTCTGCAATATATGATATGCATGGAATGAAAAAAGTGCCGAATATCACAGCGGAGCTTCAAAGCAGTCCCGTACTCATTAGCGACAAGATGATGCAAGCTCTCAGATTTGGAATACTAAACAACATCAATTTTTTTCGTCTATTAAAATAAAATTAAAAAAAAAAATTGTTACACAGTGTTCTGAAGCCACTTGTTTTTAAAAATCACGAATATCCGTTAAAATAAAATGCTTGCGCCTAAAAAAATAATTTAAAAATATAAGATCAGCTTCAGGTAGTTGTTTCCTAAATCAAAAGTATCTAAAAACGTACGAAATTATCAGCAAAACTAATGTAAGCGTCGAAAAACATGTGTAAAAAATTTGAGACTTATTTACCACGTCGTTATTGAAATATTCTCGTCAAAAGTATCTCTCTTTTAACATTGGAGCAATCGTGGAAACACTACATAGCTCCATTATTTTAAAAAGTGTAACTTACCAGATATCTATAAATAATTAAAAAACTACTGAAAACTACCTTAGACAGTAAATGAATACATAAAATTTTTTAAAGATTTTTTACTACATAGTATTAAAGTAGTAGTAATTGAAAAAGTACTCTTTGTTTGATTTTGGAAGATAACTAAGTAAGTATCGCTTATGGGGCAACGTTACGTTGTCACATGAGTACAAGTAGATAGATATATATGATTATGTACATATAAGTGTACGCAAAGGCATTCACATTTGTCTCTGATATTTTGAACACAGGATGATATATGAACATAACCTTAGTATTTTATATCTATACATACGATCGACCTATATATTGGAAAACAACTTTCTTAAGGAGGCTCAACACACCATATATGGCTCAAAACATACATAATTATAGTCATGACTAAAGCCACATATATTATTACTTCCACCACAGAGCAGAGCAAAAGCTTCATCTACTCCACGTGGTGATTGATGTCTATGTAGATATAACCTTTTATTGTACATAAGGATAGTTAATATCAGTCACTTAACAATGTTCACGAAATTTCCTCATCAAATGAATCCCAATCAGCGCAAAAAAACTAAAGGCAAGTACAAAGGTCCATTCGTGAGAAAAAAGGTTGCGGTGCAAGTACAAAATCGATTATTATTATTATCTCTCGGAAGATATTTATTACGGTGAAACATCTATTATAAGTTAATAAATACTTTAAATAAAAGTTTACGCATTACGCATAACTATTAACATTTAAAATCATATGGTTTTTTATTAAACTGCAGTTCTTTGTTCCAAAGTAAAGTAATATATTTATTTGATTCATTCACAACAAATTTTTGAATACATTTTTGCTTGGTGCGTTTTTTGTCGATGACATTCTAACCAACATTTTTTTAATCATGTGTATTAGTGTATTTCAGAAGAAAATGTCTCAATAAAATCAGCAGCAAACTATATTTTTCTTATGTTTACTTGAAAGAATGATAGTTAAACTATATGACTCAAGTTTTTTGTTCATGTAGGAAGAGATTTGAGAGAGTTATGATGAGATTTTCGGTGAAAAAAGTGCTGTCTCCATAAGAGGCTATGTATAAGACGCTCACTTGCAACGCGTTGTACTAAAAGTTTTCCGGAGCAAACTATGCTGAAATTTTGCGCAGAGGTAAAAAACATACTCAATGACCGTGAATTTTAATTTCATCCATCTCACAAGTACTTCGATAGGTATGTTTAGCCTCCTTAAACGTAAAAAATTTAATTGTACAATATAACATATTAAGTACTCTGCTAGCCATGGCTGTCAGAGTCGATTTTATTATGAAACTAGCCATAAGCTGCCTTCTAGCTCCATTCTATTTACGTTCTGTTGCTTGAATAAAACAATATCTAAGACGTAATCTAAGGCAAAGTTGGTCTTAGCTAAGTACTTAGAAAAAGTAACAGACAGTAACAAGAACACCTTTAACATCGCTTGCAACGACTTAAACCTTGTGTTTTATGACGGCTTTAATTTCATCTGTAAGTTTGTACAAGCTTCTGAAGTGTGAAGCAAATTGTTTGATCTTATTTAAGACGTAATTATCTGAAATAATAAGCGGTAACGTGTTAACCTTATTGTTGATACGTACCCTGACTTCCCTACCGTCCACGATTATGAGGATGGGCCTCGACATAGTATTTATGAGATCTGTGCAATATGTAGTCAGCTGTAGGAGAAAAATCAACTGTTACAGAAAGACTAAAATAATATACTATGCAAGTAGCAATTAATCAACTTTTATTATTGAAAACTAGGCCAGTCAGATAAAGTGTCTAAATTTTGCACAAGAACCAAAAATATTATGCTATCCGTAAACTATGATGCATGTTATAAGTATGTGTGCAGGAAAGAAAAGATGGGACCTTTGACTTGAAAAGAGAAATGGTTGAGAGCTTGTGTACAAATTAGGTAGGGACAGACATAAACATTGCCTCACATATTTGCAACAAATTTTATAAAATCTAAGAGACTTATTGAAGTGACGTTTAACGATTATTCTATATCTTCTCGTTATTATGATAGGCAACATGTAATGATATAGTAAAAAAAATCCAAAAGTTATATTAATCTAGGCTGCAGCAAAACTTCTTGGTTAATTAATACGCCTTACTCATATGTACGAGAAACTAGGTAATGTGGCTCACGCTTTACGGCCTCTGATCTGAAACGATCATTCTATCGAAATAGAAAAACAGCTAGCTCAAGGAAAGTACTGTCTTTGCTTACATATCAAAAGGTTTTTATAGATTTTTTCTATTAATCTTACGGAATTAAACAATAATATGATGTGCTCAAAGGATTCGTTCATTAATTTTGCCCGTACAAAGCTAAAAATAATGTAAATGATGGTTGTTACATGAAATTTGAAAAAACTTACAGGTTAAGACAGAATAAATGTTTCGAAAATATTAAAAAATATTATAGTTGTCAGTTACTGACATGCAAAACAGAACTATGAGAGCATATTATGAAAGCTGCATTCATGACAAATACCTGACAAAGAACATGCAACGAAATAAGTCTGAAAGAAGATCAACAATAGTTAAGATGGAAACTAACTGAGGACAGCGCACGTCCTTTTTTTACCTTACCTTTCAATGGTTAGAAGGAAAAGAGTTTTCACCAATAGTCAAAGACTTTACTTTGTCAGAGGAAACAAACGACGAGAATGACAACCTGGATACAGGTAATAATTTAAACAGTGAAATCGCACCATCTCGGTCTCGTATCGTCCTATTTTAATCAACTCATTAAAAAAAATTTAATGAGCTCATTTGTCTTTAATGAATATTAATATTGTAAAAATATTTACATTTTACCAGATTACTTTGTACAAGATCTGTTACTGTGTCATAATGTATCTGGTATATGATTTTCTAAAATGTGCTCATGAGATTATACTGAAAGATTCGTAAGTTATTGGAATGACGCAATCAGATATGATTATTATTGTGTATGTATAGAAAAAATGAAGAACTTATCATACTGTTTTTGTGTTATTGAAATATTTTAAATAATGTCATAAAATTATTTGAATAATTTTAACGTGATGGGGCTAAATGTTGTTAACTAAATATGTTATTAACTTTATTTATGAACAAATCAGTTTTTGTCCTAATGAAGTCAATTGTTGCACTAATAATACTTATCTTTGTACTTTCTTAAAAACACTGTTGCGAAGTACTCAACATTCTGGTTTGCTTACTTAGCTTACGTAAGCGTATAAGTAGGGCATAAAAAACATTTTCGACACTACGTGCGCGGGTACCTTGATTATAAACCATCTGCTGTGGCTCTAAAGACCTCGATTTAGACACGCGACTTACAACTCGTGCTGTGCACTTGTGCAAGTGCGTGTGTACGTCAAGATCTTTGCAGAGCCATAGTAGATGGCTCATAATCTCGTTCCCCGCGCAGGATGTGTCGAAAAGTTGTATACATCACACGTGCGAGAGGTAAGGTGATTGACACACGCACGCATCAATCACCTTCCTGGCGCACTAGTATCGTAATGTCCTATTTATTTCTTACTGTTTGAACAGAGATAGTAGTTACAAGATGTATGTTATAATAATATTTGTAGTTCTTGTGAAAATTCCTGTCCCTAATGTATTTTAATTAAATAGAATCAACGTCACATTGATTTATTTCACAAAATAGTAGTCTTGTTCAACGAGAAACTTAAAATACTTTACTAAAATTTTAAAATAAACTAGTTTTTAAAGACTAATAATCTTGTTTATTACAACGTACTCACCTTGTTAAAACAATTTGAAAAAAGTTGAATCCTGCAATGAAAGAAGCAAGGCGAACTAAAGACTGTTTTCCGGATCCTCCAATACCAACCAACATTGCATTTCCTCTAGGAACAGTGATAATTCTAGATACACGAATCAAGTGCACAAGAGCATCGTGAAAAAATACTAAATCAAGGTGAGTTCCTCGAATGTACTCATTATACAGGTCCATAAATGATTTCACTTTTGAAATGACGAAATCATAACTGCAGATAGAACGTTGTTTAACTTAATAAGAATTTTTACGTAAAAAGTTGATTTTTTAAGTATAAGTATGTCGAGGGTGTTTTATGTCCAAATACGTATTGCAAATTTTATTATCTGTCAAAAGATTGTTTATATTGAGTATTGGGACAATACGATAAATATAAGATAGTCTTCTTTACCAATTGATTCAAGTTCTGCTGGCATTATTTGACATTATTGATTTTTTAGTTATTCCTGGCTCCAACGAGGTAACCTCAAACGTATATCAACAGAATTTGTCGTCGGTGCATACGACTGACTGAAAAAATGTCTGTATCATTACAGTTATTAACTTTAACCTTATCCTCATTTTACATCAATGAGTAAATACTCTTGTGACGATTTTCTGAGGGAATCTTTATTTTGCTGTTTCCCTTTGTAAAATTATAGTATTTTATTGGTATCTGGCAATCTTACTAATTATTTTTTTTTCGCAACAAGCAACAAACCCTAGGTACAACGTTGCCTGTTTTATACAAAAAAAAATTGTGTTCAAATGAGCCAAAGTCAAATTTTGCAACCTCTTTTTGAAATTTCTTGGCCAGAAAATAGATACATCTATCAAACAAAAATCGGACAAACGCGTCTGAGTCATTCTGCATGCACCAAAGCCATGGACTTAACAACAAAATTTTAATTGTAAATCTTAATAATTAAGCAAAGAGCACCGACGAGAGAGCACAGCAGTCTTCTGCGGTCCGCCCACCACATCGCCCTTCCTCAACGCTCGTGCGTCGAGCTGCCGCAGATGCCAAATTAGAGATATTTCAGATGCTTTGTTAAGGACTTTATTGGATGATTTTGCAAACGATTAAGCAACAAGTTCGTAGAGTAAGTCTTCTTTAACACATACAGACCCGTATATTCATTGTACGGCTGGTTTTCGCCAATTGGCAAGCATTTTTCCGAAGCACCTGTTTTTATACTTTATCGACTTCCTCGAATAGTTTTCACAATTTGTGTATTGAAAAAAACCACAGATAAAAGACACAAAAACTAACAATTTAAGCTTTAGAGGATACATTTAGGATGTATAGAGGCCGAGTAATTAATTATTAAAAAATCGCGATTTTTCGCTGTTTTTAATTTTTTACGAGAAAATTTGTTCGATTTTAATTGTTGGAAACTTTTCTTTTCGTTTTTTTTAAGCTCTACATAACAATATTGTTGGTTTTTGGCTTATATATTTTTTAAAGCTCTTTAAGTGCAAAAAGTGGTTTTTGGCACCATTCCGATCCTACGCACCGATTTTTTTCCAAATTATTTTTCTTGAAATCCCACTGTTTTCCCTATTTATCACAGTGAAAAACCTCTCTGGAACGAGATTTAAAAAAAAAGCCCCCGGCCCTGTACTACTTAGGTTACCATTGGTAATAAGCCATAGAAAGTGACTACACTTTCTCTTTTGGATACCACAGTATGACGCATCTGATAGTAATGCTATTTTACTAGAATGTGACATTTTGGAACAATGGTTTCATTAATAAGCTAACGTAGTTGTTTGTTAGTTCTGACCTAACCTAACACTGACATCAAGAACTTGGCCTGAGCTGGTACATGGTGTGATAATCAAGCTCACAATCAGTCATACTATATAGCAAAAGAGTAGAAAATCTCATAACAAGTAGCTAAAAGGTGATGAAAATACATGCAATAAAGTGGTCAGGTTCATCAATCGATTTTTAAAAACTACAACATATCTCTCCAGTAAATCAACAACATCCCTAAGAACTGCAATCAACATATCCTTAGTATAAAAATTTTCTTAGTGTTAGAGGATCATTTAATTTGTCACAAAAAATATTTTTCCAACATTTTCTCATAACCATGAGACAATTTTTCGTTGGCTTAACGTGTAGGTAATACTCATACTTGCCAGTCTACTCACATGTACGAGCGATAAAAAAAAACAGCAGTTTTTGCTATTCATCAAGACATCCTCTAGAATTAAAAAAATTTTACCTCAAAGGTTTCCTCATCATTATATTTAAATAACTTGCGGAACAATTTCCGCGAAACAGTTTTATCAGATATTCAAATACATTGTTCACTGACACCAACTATACTATTTATGAAATTTTTGTTGCCATTTTGGTACGAAACTTAGCTATGAGGTAGCTTTAACAATAGCACCTAGCCTTTTGTTAGAAGTAGATTCATACAGCAAGTGGATCCATGTTAAAACAATAAATAAGCGAAATTCATTTCAGAAAAGTTAAATTTATCTTTAAAAAAAAGTAGAGTTGGACATTGTAAATCAACCACCCCATATTATCTAGTTGGAACGGTGCTACTACAGATCGACAGGAGACTCGCTGGAGCTCGATTAAAGTATCTTTTTGAAATGACAAAAAAAGACTCTACACTTAACTAAAGGTTAACTACCAGCATAGCTCCTCTTAAATCGTAAGCCTTGCATCTAAGTGTATCTGATAACATGCATGATCTGATAACACCTGTTCGACTACAAGTTAGGATCGCAGGAGAACAGTAACTGATTGTCAGCTAAGTTTTCTGTTACTTTCAAAATCAACAGTTCATCTTATTTTGGTAAAACGATATGCGAGGATCTAAGTACATACTTAGAGTACAGATTTCATGATTGGCAATATAAAATTAAATCATAAGGCAAATTTTTGAATTCACATGCAGACCACATACGAGCCTGTTTACACAGTCAAAAATATATGAAAAGCAAGAGTATACGTCCTTATTATAAAGAGCTCAAACAACTAACTACTCAAACAACTGAGCATTATCAACATTTTTATAAGCTAGCCATCATACGTATGCAACAATGTGATCCAGCAGCACACGAAAGCCTAATGCCATTACCACTGCCACATTTTCTAAAACTGTGTCTAGCACTGCACACACTGGAATCATTAATACCTGGAATCCTACTTTCCAATAATATAAATCTGACGGTATCTGTCTCCGAGATTTTTTTCTTATCATAAACTATAATTAACTTTTTCTATTGAATTTAGGAACGCAACTTGAACATTAAAAAGTGTTTTAAATGTTACTGCTTTTCTATTTAATACTTAAAAGTCTTATATTGTAACTGTCGACTTTTTTTGTGAACTTTTTTTGTGTAAGGATGATAAACAATTTTTACCTTTTTTAAAAAATATATATCATTTGTCATTTCACATAAATTTTTATAGGAGGATTCCACTTGCAACTTCACCTGAAACCTTACGAGATAATACACGAAATTTAAAAGTAAGTAAAATACACTCTGTTTCATTACAGTTTGTGACACAAAGTAAAATGGCCAGATTCATTTTCGATGTATAAATCATTAAATAAACAGCTTTTCACCAAGGAAAATTTTCGAGAAAAAAGTTATGAAATATTGACAATTTAACACGGTCTCTGAAGAGAGAGCAAGGTTAGGTTTTAATTTAAATTAAGGTATATTCTAAATGTGTTGGAATAAAAAAAAGGTTTTCATAGATACCTTGGTACAAAATAAAGTTGCACGACAAAAAAAATCAAGCCTCACCAGGTATTTTTCAAAAATATAAGCAGTTACAGTCGTACAGTTTCAAGTTTTTAGAATGCAAGAGGAGGTGGGCGGTAAAGGGGGACCATCTGCATGGGCAGAAGTGACTCCTTATTCCTCTCCTCTTTGAATGATACTTCCAAATCTCCTTTATTATAATGAAATACTGAATTTTCCATAAAACACCCTGTACATACATGAACTGATTCTACTAAATAGATATATATTTTATAACATATTTTTATGTCATAACTTAATGTTCTCTTGTCAACTAAGAGTAAAGAAACTATGACTCAGGCAACAAATTTTGACATGATACTTTTTTTTAATTCTTAGTTACAAGCTTATAAGTTAAATACCCGAAATTATAGACCAAATTTACAGTCTTCAAAAAGTTTGGTAAGTCCTTATTTCTTGTTTTAAAAGTTTATTGGATGAACTTATTTTTTGACGCTTAATTCTGAAAGTTCTCTACTTAAGAAACAAAGTGAAATCTATCTAAAAAAATCGTTGCCATGTGCTTTTATAAGATTTTAGTAAGGATTCATAATGTACTTTGTTCTTACTAACAAGAGTTACATAAATGAAGAAAAAAGTTGAAACGTAGAGGATTGTAAACATCTAATATATTTTAATCGGCTGTTACAATACTGATGTGTTATAAGTTTCGTCATGTTAATAAATACCTTGGCATTTTCTCATAAGTTTTTGGTGCTTCGAGAACAAAATCTTCTGGCTCATCACCAGTTGGTTCAGGAGGCTCTCGTAAGAAGTTAACGAAGTAAGTTTCTGCAGGGTCATAATATTTAAAATCTTTGCCAAGTAACTCCTGTGCCGTATCACGTAACATCTTTGTGAACCAGTTTTTATCATCAAAATTTATAAATCTGTCCATTAAAAATAGAAATTATTAACATTTTTCATGTATTTTTAAAATAAACCAGACATGAGGTACACAACGCCGAAAAAAAATACAAACCTGTCAGCTATAACCCTAATACATTCATGTTCCCAAAGTTTTAATAGAGTCGTAATTGACTCACACTCTGCTCTCTCGATTCTTAATATTCCTTCCCATATTCGCGATAAATCACGCAAATTAAAAATGTAGTGGAATTTTGCAGGAGTTGGGAGTATTTTTATTTTAGTCCGTTGCCATACTATACGTGTCAAAGGTATTAACTTTGGAACAAAATTTACTATGACCTCAGAAAATCTTTCCATGCAAAAGTATCCGTTGCTAATTGATTCTAAATAGTAATAATTTCTTTAGCTATTTTAAATCTGTACGTAGTTATATTGTTGTCAACTTAACAAATAACTTATCTAGTCAAATACTTTTACTTACATTTTTTATTTAATTGATTTTTTAATCTCCTTTAAATGTACACGTAGTTTTAGAGTATTACATTTTAGTTTTAGTATTTACTACAAGTATTTTAAATGTGTAACCAAATTTAACTGGTTATAAAAAACTTAAGTTAAGACCTAAGATAGATAAAACAAGTACATAGAAAAATGACGAGCTTCAAAACGTTATTTTATTTTCATCTTCATTTTTGATAAACTAAGCAATTAAAGTTTATATTTTTTGTAAATATTCCTACAGCAAGAACGAGATTGTTATCATTTATCCAGATCTTAAATATGCGACGGAAGTTTCAACAATGATCTTAAAAAATGTTAAACAAGACTAATAAAGAAATAAATTATTAAAATAGAATAATAAAAATAAATGTGGTTGTTGTTAACTTTGCAAAGCCATTTTGCTAGTATGTGACCGTCTCGTTATGACCAGTTAATTACTAGTAGCCGTACATTCAGTTGATGATGAAGTGTCAGCTGTTATGTTTAGTAGGATCAAGAGAGTATATTAATTTATTTTGATAAGGTGTAAGCAAACAATAAGTAAGAGTAAGAAAAACCAAAAACCGTATTATAAAGTGGTAGAGTTAGTAAAAAAGGCGTTTGTGCAAGACTTCTGAACATGAGGATGGTGTCTGATGTCTTTTAAACGTGAGGGGGCAGCTAGGAGACAATACTACAGCCAATAATAATAAACAGCACTATTTTAAAGATCTTCAGCTCCAAAATCAAGCATTTTTTCATTTAATGCCACGACCTATTTCTTTTTAACTACAGGGTCAGTAAAAAATTTAAATCCTTTTTTAAAAAAACATATAGTTACTGAAGAATTACTAGATATTTTCCTATTTAATGTTGTGTCACTTCAAAAAAGTTATGTTCAAAAAGCTTAAGATGAAGTCAAGTCTGGTACTCTGAGTATTTATAATAAAGCTTTTTCAAACTACTTAATACTAAAGGGAATGCTAATAAATAAATTGAGTTTTGGCTCATGTGTTTTAAGTAGAAGAGGCCTCTCCCCAGAACTAAGAGGGGAAGGAGAAGCTAGAATAAAACAGTGAATTATTACTCCACCAAATGTGGCAGCTTATGTGCCTGATAATTTTGTAACAGGACATTCAGGAAGTGGCTGGATCAATATAGATCCATACAATAGTTACATAATGAATGGGTTTCATAAAACTTTTGTTAAACGTGGTAATGAGTGTCCAGTAGTTCTGCTACTGTTTGATAGGCACAGGTCACACATGAGTATGACATTTCTTGATTTTCGCGTTAAGCGTATTACATTGTATTTACTCTATCCAATTGCAACTTACTTAATTTAACCATGTGATGTTGATACATTAAAATCATTCAAAACTGCTTAAAAGCAATAAGTCACATTACATGCTCAACATTTGAACAAAGCCGTTACAAAAGTAATCTTTCTCTCATATTTACAGCACACTAGTAAGCTTGCATGCCTGCTGTCATTTAAAGAGCTTTTGAATGCTGTGGTTTGTATTTATTTAATCAAAGTAAAGTTGACAACACAAAGTGCGATTCCGACAGGCATAAAAATTTAAAACAAAATCTTGATATGACTGATGCTAACATAAAATGTTCAGGGTTCTTTACTATTAAAAGTCGATCAAAATCAGTTTTAAAAAGCGTATGATTCTAAAGCGTCTTCAGTGAATAAAATTATACTATCTAACGTACGGAAAATATTCAAAGATAGTATTTTCTACATATCACTGAACAGCGATAATTCATATTGTATTGGTAAGACCAATATTGTTAATATTAATACGCCGGATATAAATAATGAGCCAATTGTCATATTTGACAATAGAAATCGAAACTTAGACATGCAACTCATTAGAGTCAAGTTGTATTTGCACCATTCTGTCTGATTCACTTATAATTTTTGCTGATTTGACATTGAAGACTTTATAAGAGGAAAAAGAAAATAAAGGCCAACTTTATAAATTGGAAAAGGACTTATATTCCAAACTCCAATTTAAAAGATCTTACTGACTTGTTAAATTAAGAAAGAGCAGAGTGTATCGTGCATTAACAGTCAAAGCAGCCCTGCCTAAGCTTCGTTAGTAGTGCGTGCCCTTCGGCTTGCACATGCTTACATACATTCACACACTTACATATATACAGACTGTCGATGCAGTCATATACTCTGTCACTTCCTCCCGACTTAAGTTCGCTAATAATATACAAAAAAAATGAATATGATTTGGTTTTATTTATCTAGATTATTCTATTGAAAATCTGCTAAGACACTTAGATCTTAGCTTAAAAGAGCCAAGGGTCACTGCAGTCTGGCTTGTACCTTACTTCTCATCTGAGACAGAAGGAGTTATATTAGTAATTTATTGTAATGGCAGACTTTATTAAAGATTTAAATTGTAAATTTTTTGCGGAGTTCGATGGATAAAGGTTTCTTTAAAAAATCTGATTTTTGTTCTTCTGTATTCAGCCATTTTACTATTACTCGTCCATAATTGTCCACCACCATTGATTTTTTTATAGGGCTCCCTTAATGCCATATATTTAGCCTTACAGGTAAACAATACCACGTTGGTCTGCTTTTGAGTTCTCCGGGCAATGGCGTATTCAAAGGGTTTGACGACGTATCCACTTATCATTATAAAGTCTTTGTAATCATCAAAACTAGCATCTAAAAACGCTTTCAAGTTTCTCTGCTTTCCAAAGAAATTTAGACCAAGAGAGCTAGTGCCTGCCAAGTACCAAAATACTCTTTTGACCATGCTCTAGTATTCATAGAATGGATAAATCTAGTATCAACTGAGTACAATTACTGCATAGCTGATGTCAGAATAAACAGTGTTAGCCACACATAATAAACTATCAACAACCTCGCAGTAAGGAACATTTTCTGTCCATTTTGTCTCTTTTAAATAATCCTGCCTTTTTGCTCTTTCTCTTTGTTTTATTTGTTGCTACAACATGTGCTCAGTGCCATGTGGCCAGTGACAAGGGGATTTATCACGAGTTTAGAATTTTTTAATTCAAAGGGCCTGGCCAGATAAGGGGATTAAAACTGCCTTAGCTCTAAAAAAACTGAAAAAATTCATGTTAGTAGTGTATTGTAAAGAAAAATATTTGAAAATTTTTTCAGACCCCAATCCACTCATGGGTTTGCTATAGGCTCCAAATAATGAATTTAAATTTTTTAAAGATATCTTCACTATTTCTCAACCGATCTTGAAAATTCTTCTTGGAAGTAACAGACAAAAATAATTAATATTACCTGAAATTTTTTCCAAATTATTGGCACCAAATTTGAATTTAGGAAAATGTTAGAAATTTTTAAAACGGCGTACTTTTGAGAGTTTTATTGGTACGATCTCAAGAAAAATTAATAAACTCCAAGGGCTTACTATTCAGTCTTCTATTTAGTTGACAACGTTTCGACTGCACTTAAAGCAGTCCTTTTAAAGTCTCTGAGTTAAAATACTTATAATAAAAATAAATATTACAACAGCTACCATAAACTACAAGTGTAAGCAATTAAATAGAATAAATGAACTTACAAATTATGTAGCGCAACGTCCACTTAATATTAAATAATATTTATATCTGCTCTAATATAACTGGCTGGCTTTTAAGCTGTCTAAATATAATCTAAAGTAGGACTAGGTACATGTAAGTAACAACACACATGAATATCGAAAGATTGTATACATGTATAAAACGGCGCGAATTCAAACACACGATAAAATTCTATTTGTATTTTTAATTATTTTAAACAATGTTTGATATAATATTTAAGTACTCTACTTAAATTATTTGTGTCAGTAATCTTATTCACAGTATTTAACTTAGTGATATATACCGTTTCTGATATTAAACGTCTGTAATAACAAATTTCTTGGTCGAGTACTTGGACTGAATCAAAGTCGAAAGTGTGGCCATAATCTCTCATATGTGTATACACTACAGACGAATCTTTCTCGTTTATACAATCGCGTTCACGTTCTTTCGTTCTAGTATCACCAGTTCTACTAGTTTGTCCCACATAATGTTTATCACAATTCTTACACTTGAAACCATAAACGGAACACACTTTGTCGGTGGTGTCAACGCTATCTTTTCCTAAATTATTTAAAAAATTAAATTTACAAACAGATCTGAAAATTACTTCTATATTGAAATTATTAAAACCTTTTCTAAAAATTTTATCACAGTCTTATATGTATGGTAACACTACAAAATCTTTAGGTAAGAAATTAACATTATCACATATGGTCTCGCCCGTAAATTGGAATTTAATTTTTTTCAAACGAACTTTTGTGTATTTATTAATAAATTCTATCGGATAGTTGTTAGCCTGTTAAATAATAGAAACTTTTTTAAAATTTTGTTTGTGAAAAGATTCATCAGATAACTTAATGGCACGGTCAACCAAGGAAAAAACGACACCTATTTTTTGAGATACAGGTGAATGTGAAAAATAATTCAAATATGAGTTTGCGTGTGTATCTTTTTGAAACCAATTCGTTTTAATGTTATCTGAGCTATCCCAATGTAAAGTTGTATCTAGAAAGTTAATAGAATTATTCTTGGGTTCTTCTATTGTAAAATTAATGTGACAATCAAATGAGTTTAGAAGTTGTAAAATATCCTTGGTACTGTTTTTTGGAACACAAGCTATAATATCATCTACTTAAATTTTAAAATATGCAATTGGAATGGGGCTTTTAAAAAGTAAATCATTAATTAAATCGTGCATAACTAGTTCTGCCAATATAGAATTGCAAGGTGATTCCATGGCAGAACCAAAAATCTGTCTGTAATATTTATTTTTTAAGACACAAAAATTATTATTTGGTATAAATAAACTCATATGTCTATTAAAATCATA